AGGAATAAATGAAAAATTAAATAAAAACAGGTCGGAAATATACTTGGGCGGCCCGCCCATGTGTGGGAAACACTGCAGCCCATTCTAATACGTAACAGGGGGGACTGGTGCTCTCGGACTCTGGCGTAGCTCAATGTGCAGAAATAGGTGGTCGTGAGTCTGAGTGGTTTAGCTCTGTGTATATATCATCTGACACTTCATTTCACCAGTGGTTCACACTATGGGTATACCAGTTTGTGCAGGTGAAGAGACGGGACTCTGTTTCTGCTTTGGTCATAGACAGGATTCAAGCATCCGCCAAAAGCGGGTGTTTTGTGTGGTGTCATTATGAATCTGCCTCCCAGCCAGGCAGCCATAACTCTATCAGAAGCAGGCTGCGGCTGTCTGACTCAAGGTCAAATGAGCGGCTGTAAATACTGTAAACTCGCTACAATGCAACTGATAAATGCAGCTAGTGGTAGCTCCGCTAAAGCCAATAAACACAATCTATTTCAAACAAATTCTTCACATTCAAAGCCCCCAGTTATTTTTCAGTGGAAAGGCCTTTTATTTTGAAACAACAATACAGGAAATCAGCTTAGGAATTCAGTCGTTATGACAGATGTTTGAAAATACAGACAGGGAAGCAGAAGAGAAACGGCACCTCTCACCACACAGATTCTGTTCACCGCTACAAGTACTGAGAACTTTACACACTGATGTTTAAAAACATCCTTTTGTGGTCTGATGAACTGAACACAGATATTCAGAGATACACATTTCTCTGGGCTCATGCACACACCAGTTGTGTATTACATCGCAGGCTTGTTTGAGGGGCAGCGGGGTCATAGCATGTTGCTATAAAGTGAAACTCAAGACTTTTTAGCAGTCACCTACATGGCTGTGATAACTCTCTTCATTTAGGCTCACATGACTTTAATACAATTAAAACCACTGTCATCTGTGGCGCTCATTTTCATCAGGAGGATAATAAATCGGGCTGTGAGACTACTTTGTTCAGTACACACAACTTCAGGTGCACTTACTAATATTAATTAATCGTTAAAGCCGTTGATATGTGATACATCTAACTATGTTGTTCCACAAACACATCTGATTGTCCGATTTGATTTTAAAATCAAATGTACAAAAATCACTACAGGAGCCACTGCAATGTATTAATTCATATTTAATAAGTTATTTTCCTAAAAATTGATCCACTGGGTTATCCAACCTGCATGGTGCTACTAGAACATTCACAACATGAGGGATAACTACACTTAGTTGCTATGGCTATGATTGAACTGGCAATTTGTTAAAACTCCATTCAAGAGACAAAAGATGAACACTCTAAATACTCCCATCATGCGACATAGACCAATCATTTCTGCCGTCTAACACAGTGCTTTGCATATGTAAACACATTTTTCTACATCTGATCCTGAGTGTGTAAATGAAGGTAGTAAAATAATTCATCCTCACCTGTCTCTATGGCAATGCCTTCATTTTTCTTCCACTGTTCTGCGACATCGTTTGCCAGGGGGTCGTCTGGATTGGGAGCACTTAATAATGCCTGAATAGATAGCAACACTGTACGGATCTGCAAGGCTGGAGACCATTTATCTGGAGGGTGGGAAGTTCAGAAAAAGACGCAAAGACAGAGAAAAACTCTTAGACGGTCAAATTTGCAATTAAGGAGACTTTAAAGTGACATGGCATAAGTATCCGTGTGCAATAAAGAGCAAATCTGCAATAATTAGCAAATGGAAAAGATGCTGAGCAGCAACCATCAGCGCTGAGAACCAAGAAAGACCACCCTTGTCCTAATGCAACTTGACAATGGAAAAAACTATCTGTTTTAGGAAATGACAACAATATAGTAAAAGCTAATTGCAAACTTTTAGCCTAGAACAGTTCACCTTAAAAATACTCCTGATGCAGTATTTTTTAATTATTACCCTAATAAGATGGCCGACCCCTCTGTTGTCTGGTCTGCCTTTGCCAATAAACATGACCTTAAGTTGTTTACCTCCAAACTTGAGTCAATGGTTGTAATCAGCTTTCTGAGCCTCACAACCTTGCATTGTGCAAATATAAGCAGCAGCTTTTCAGCCATTTCATGATATAAATAGTTTATTCTCAATCTTTAGACATAATTTGTTTGAGATAGAGAATAAAACTGTCTTTCTATGCCTTACTCTGTTTTCTGTAGTAAAATGTTATTCAGATTATAACGGGTTTCCGATATCTTATCTGTAAGGTGTTAGGTCAACACTATATGATTTCCACTTTTAGAGACATGATAGTAAATGCCCGGGCATTTAGTTTTTGAGATGTGGATTAGTGAATTAGTTAATTAGTGTAACATATTTACATTTATTATTGTCCAACTTTACTACTTCCAGAATATAAAATAAGAATTGCCACATGCTTGTATTATATTGTACTCGTTAGTAATCACTAACTTCGGCTTTCACTGTTTGTAATAGTGCACATTTGTTCTCATATCAAGGTTTGAAACTGCCAGAAAAATAGCTCATGTTATGCAAATATGGTTACACGTAAATGGCACCCAAAAATAACCTCAATGAAGATATCAAGAGATTTGCTAATTAATTGGTACTTACCTTTCAAAATGTCTAAACATATTCTTCCCAGTTTGTCAACATTTGGGTGGTAGATTTTGGTCATGAATCGCACTTTGGGAGCTGCCATGGGATACTCTTCTGGAAGAAATAGTTCAAGTTTAAATGTGCCTCCTTCAAATGGAGAGTCTTGAGGCCCTGCAATGACCACATGGAAGTAACGAGCATTTTCTTCATCAGGTGTAGCTGTGATCCCTGGAACAGGCTCTGCCATCAACCGCTGTGTCTCCTGAGCGTGGTTAGAATGGGGGATACGTATTGACACTGTAAATAACTTTTCAAAGTTTAAAACACTGATGTAGGAAACAATCAACAAATGGTATAGTTTCAAAAATGTCTGAAAAACTACAAGAAATGTCCACCATTAATATTCACCACAAGGTAAAAAGTAGTTTCTTAGAATTGTTTGTCAAACTGCCTAAAATATCCAACATCACAGAACAGAACAGTTTTCCATGACATAATACTAACCAGTAAGGACTCACATGTAGTGATGTTAACAACTGAATGTCAAGCATATTGACTTGAAAAGGTTAAAATAAAAACATCATTTTAAAAGATGCCAATTTTATTGTAGCAATCCACTTACTGATTTTACCTCTATATTCACATTATCAGTGGAATTACTCGAATTAATTGAATAAGTACAGTAGACTTTTGTTGGTTCATTGGAATTGCATAATTTCATTGTAAACTAGAAAACTAATTGTGCTGCATTACGAGAAGCTCGACTACAGTAGAAAGAAAGAAAAAGTGACTAATGATTGTCATATTTCTTAATTTAGTCAAGCAGGTGCAGCGAAACATCTGCAGTCAACAGGAAGAACCCCAGTTTGAGCTTTTTTTGTAAATGCCATTGTTTACTTGGTTAAAACATATGACAGCTTGGTTGTTTTGAGAAAGCCTGCTTAAAGAAAATGCTGCTGGATGCGGTAGAAAAGGCTGATCGCGCCCACTCCTGGGCCGGGCCCAGAGAAGCTGCGCTAAGGTTGAAGAGGAACACCGCAACGCAACAGGCCTTAAGTGCATACTAACTTATTCAATTCATTTAACACAAGAAAATCGATACTATCATTTATGGACATTTCAATAGTTTTGACTACAGGGGGAAGTCCTCACGCCAGTGCCAGACATGTGTTGTTTCCTATCACTAAAGCTACCGCTGCTAGCCTTGCTAACTTAGCGAACCCATTCATATGGCAACTGGGACAAATTGTCATCATTTGTTAATTCATGCCACATATTGGCAACCCAGTGTAATTTAGACTAATTTAAGTATTTGATAACTCATTTACTCGTAGATAGATATAACATCACAACACAGCAGACGAGCGAAAACGGAAATGGAAAACAAAACACTTGCAATAATGGACAAGCGAGCTAGCTTGATAACTAGCTTGAAAAGAGCTAATTTTGTTAGCAGCGCTAACGTTAGGCTTCACGTTATATGGAAATAATGGTACGTCACTATTTCCGATAAATACTCTTTAAGATAACCACATACGAGCCCATTGTTATATATGTGCAGTGTCCGGTGCAAATTGTACCTTAATAATCCTACGAGGCAAACCGGCCATCTTGTGTTAGCTATTATATTTTTAGCCGTGGACTCGCCTTCTCTTAAGGTTGGATTGACTGAGCTGCCTGGGCGGGGCGGGGGGGGCGGGGACACAAATCTCGCTCTTCCGGTTGTTGCAGATGACGTAAGAAAATATGCTCGTGCTCAAAATGGTCTGTGTCAAAAAAAACAGATTTCACTTGTATCTTAACATCTACATTTTTGTGAGATGCTACATATATATGTTCTCTTTTTTTTACCGCAAGCCTTGACATAAAAGGTTTATTGATCTTTTAATATGTTTGATCGCACTTAAAATACATTCTGTTCAACCTTTTTGTTATGATAAAAAGCATGTATCTATCGTGATAAATAAGAAGTCTCAATACACATTTTAAATAGTTAAGTAATAAGGAACCTTTATTTCACCTATAACTTTGCACATTTGACAATTCATGTCTTTGGGTTTGAGGTTCATAGCATTGATGTTTTTTAAACCTTTAGTTTAAAACTGCTATTATCATAAATTGCTTATGATTCAAATATCCTAAGAATATGACAGTTTTAAAGGGAGATTATTAATAAGATTATTGCCAAGAGAAGTTAAATGACATGAGAAAAACACAAGGCTGTATAAAGAATATTTACTGTTTTGCAAACAGATATTAAAAATAAAAATACTTGCACCAGCCAGGTACAATTTATATGAAAATGCCTTTAAAAATAATGCAGTAAATCTGTGCACAGTTATTGAGCCGTATTATTCTTCTTTGGCAGCAGCAGCAGCACTGACTTAAAAACAACTCATCAGAACCAACTTTATATTTAACAGTTTATTATACATTATTGTGACAAGAACACAAACACAAATCATATGAAGTTTTGTGAATTGAATTATCTGTCCTTGGGGGGATCCTTCTTCCTGCGTCTCATGTGGTACCTGTGAACAGTGGAAGAGCCAAATCAAAATTGACCAATAACATAAAAAGCATAATTGAGAAGTTGTTGTATTTTCTTTCAGCTTTCACACTCAGCCTTACAAGTACTTATGATGCAGGTATACATTTTTATGCTGTATAGAAGAAACAGCACTAAAGCAGATCAATCAAGCTCTCAGTTGTCTCTGTTTGGAATTTTTACCCATTACAACGTATCTTCTACAACAGCTACATTAAATTAAATGTGAACTTGGTTGCAATCCAAATAAGTAGTAGGGGAAATTAATCCAGAACAGTGAATGACTGTAAAAACTGTGAATGCACAACTGTACTGTTCACTGCAAAGACATCAAATACCAGCAAACATATGCAGTCAAATCTCTTTACTATATAAAGCCAACCTTTGAGAGCACTGAGGTGTTAGGGGGCCTGAATCAGTGCTGTGTGTACTTACTGTCCTACAGGATACCAGCGGTGTTTGGTGGTGAAAAACATCTTGCTCAGCTCCTCTATGGTGGGACCCTTCTTATCCTTCAGAATCTCCATGCTGAGACTAGCCATTAAGACCTGGTCGTGGGTCTCAGCCGGGTTGGTCAGGGGGTCTGGCCGCTGTATAGGCTGCAAAGATTAAAAGTCAAGAACAAATCTTTATTCTTTTAAAAACAAACAAAAGAGTAATGTTTATTAAGCTTCTTTAATGATTATGGCAATCCTGCAACAATTCCCTTCAACATTTTAGAGTTTAAAACGCATATATTTCATGACACTGTACATGCTGGATAGCAGTATGAAGAAACATTTCTGGTAACTCCTGTTTGTTTGCAGTTCCATGTTACTTCATCTTGTCACACATTTCCTCTTCAAATAAGGCAGAAGTGATACCTGAAGATTTTTTTAATTTAGAAATTGGAGCCTCTAATTTCTCTCTCTTGTGAAAAAACATTCAAGACCATGACATCATTGGGGATTAGAATTTGTCATCAGATAAGTGACACATGGATATTTATGTGGCCCTAAAGCTTTCTCATACCTGGGTCAGTTCATAGGGAATGTCCACAGGGGGATGGTAGCATACTATGGTTTTTCCGTCTGAAGTCACGCCAAGTTCCACATTACTAAACAAAAAGAAAATGTTTATGTGATATCTTTATAACAAATTGATAATTTTCAAACATTTGACATTTGAATAAATGAATCATCTGCAGTTGGACCAAAGACTGTAGGTGAGAAATCCACAATACCTCAAAATATATACAAGCTTGACAGAACAATTAGCACCAGTGAATTCACACATTTGTCATGGGTTTGTGAACATTCTGGTAATTTCCTTTCAAATAATGATAAAAAAAATTCGTTAATATTCTGATTTTATTTAGATCATAACTATCATACCCTCACATACCAACTTTATGACTACAGCATTTAATCAATTTAAATAATTTTTTAAAAATTCGGTTAGCTTTAATGGCATGAATGTGACAATATTTCAAAAGCATTTAATAACAAAGAATACAATAGAATAATAATGATTAATTATGGTATTATACAACAGTGAAACACACATAACATAAATATAAACATAAAATTAAAATAAATTAAATGTATAAAAGTACAATTGCACAACAAAACCAAATGTACAAGTTGTAACGTTTGTTGCAGCCCATTGATTACAATATACAACTCAACTCAAACCTAAAAGCTCCCATAATGACTGAATAATAATAATAATAATAATAATGTAGACTTAGTCTGACTTCACAGTTTTTCACATACCAGTTAGGACTTTCAAGTGAAGGACCACTGATACTGGACTTGTGTCGCATTGGCACCAAACATGCTGAAACAGAGAAGCAAACCGGGGAGACTCACTTATGATGCATCACATCTGAAAGTACAAATCCGACCACTAATATTATCTAACACAGGCAAACTAGTGTTGTGACAACATCTAACAAATATGTGTTTGATATTTACAAGTGGGTTCTAAGTGTTTGCAATAAACTTCCCATTATTCATTGGCATTAAACGCTCCGTTTCCATTCTTTAAACAAAGATGTCCCTGTTAATTTGAACTAGAAATAATACTGTTGTTTGTGTAACACTTAATGCTAGCTAAAGCCTGTGTATTCCCAAGGTTAGCCTCTGTCAGCTTTTACCTCCACCGTGATGCGTTCACGGTTTAAATCAAAAACCGACAAATGTACAAACAAAAATGTGATTATAGGATAGCAATGCAAACTTACTTTGTGCAAGTCGTACAGTGTTAGCGTTGGAAAGTCGCGTTACTATACAGTGTAGCTTACAAAGATGACCCGCCGCCATGCTCATTTCAGTTATTGGAGGGTGTGCATCACTATTATATTTCCGTGTTAGCACTAACTACTCAGCTTTCGTTCCACTTTTAAAAGACCAGAGTATCCAAGTCTACCATTATACCCTGGTTCCTAACTACTCATTAATACACATTAACCTTTAGTTTAAGTTGTATTCTAAATTGAAACATATTAAAACACCCTTTCTGAATGCTAGTGTTTGTTTCAGGTTATATAGCATCAGAGTATAATATTGGAAATGGAACATTTTACTATATCAGCTTCCTAATAAAGTACTTACTCACAGAAAGTAAGGAAATTTGTGTTTGGTATATTATCTTTGTTGTAACAATGCTTCTTGGCAATATATCTTATACCATTGGAAAGTCTTTTATATGGTGTCACATTTGTAAGGATTGTGCGATTTTATATTATAAGTATAAAATATTATTTTACTTTGAAGGTGGCAGATCCAAAGGAAAAAGAAAGACTGACATGATCAACTGTTTTTATTTATTGGTTGAACACATATATTTTAAAGAGTTTATCATTACTCAATACTTTGGCCAGATGTGAGTCCACAGGCTTTTTTCAATATTTCATATTACCAAAGATGACTACCAGGAAACCCAGGTATGCAATGTCAAGAGTACACATTGTCATGTGAAAATAGTCTTAGTGGCAGAAAGCATCTGTAAATGCACAAAGAATGGCAAAATGAAACAGATGTAAAAGAAACATAAAACATTTTAACAGAGTCGTTTCAAATATTTCAATCACTGGATCAAAAAAAAAATCCTGGAAGTCTTCCCTTATAGAAATATAAGAAACCTTTTCTTGTGTTTTTCACACGTCTATGAATATGCATCCACTCTGTTGTTTTCTGCAGCAAACAAGCTGAACACGTTTTTTCAGCGCTTGTAGTTTGGTTGGCATTCTGGTAAATCTTTCAAATCCTTCATGAATGCAGCTTTCATTTATTCAAATCCATTTTCCATGAACTGCAAAATGAGAAGGGCACCAGCAAGCAGCAGCCTCAGTGTTTACCAGGAATCCTCAGTTTATTCAAATTTACAGTTAGTTGATAAATCCAGGACACCACTAGGAGACCTCCATCTGTGCTGTGGCTGCTGAACTCAATGCCTGTGATCCTGCGTTTACCACAAGGCGCTCTCGATTGCCGAACACCTCAGCCACTAAAGACAAAAAATTAAAAAACACAGCTTTAATAAATCTAACAACTGAGCTCATAAAAAAGGTCAGGCATGTTTCTTTAAGAATGAAATGTCAAATCATTTAACTTCTAACTTGTTTTTGAGATGTCAGGTGAAGAAGACATCCAGTGAACTATACCTGTTGCAACATCACTTATATCCCAAACCCGCAGGCCGTCCCTCTGTCCCCCAAAGGCGTAGACGAAGGGCTGATCAGGGCAACAAGAAGCACAGAACAGCACGCCCTGTTCACACACAGGAAAGTAACCACTACGTCAAACATTGAATTGTCTAAATTAATTTCATAGGGATTGGTTTTCTGTGGAAGGAGAGGAAAAAATACAAGATCTTCATTTAGTGAATGCCTCACCATTTTCATGTCCCGTGAGTGCACCAGATTGGGTTTGTTGCCCAAAATGTCCCAAATCTTCACATGTTTGTCAGCTGATGCAGTGACCAGACAACCTTTAATCTGGCTGCTGAGGTCCAAACCTGCAGCAACATAAAAGAAGGTATGACACCTCTTCTGCTGTTACTGAAACCTTTAAAACAACTCAAACAATTCAAATTATCAAGCAGACATGGTTTCAGAGACTATTTCTTATGATTGCATTATTTTTCTTTATACAGAATTCTATCCCCTTCATGAGTGCTATCCCTGCTCTTCATGAGCTACAACTACAAAAACGGACAACCACATCTACATTGAAATGAAATGGTCAAAAACGTACAAGTGATGTTAGCCCATGATTGAATCTTTCAGAATTGATTCTCCATCAACAAGCTTCTACAATCTTCTTTTTAAATCTTTGTATGAGGAACTTTTCCTATATTTGAATATATTCATGCAAACATTTCTTCCTACCTGAAACTTCCTCATCATGAGCCCTAAGTGTGAAAACTGGTTTATCGGAGCGTGCATCGAGGCAGTAGACGAATCCATCCTCTGTGCTGGCCTGAAACATGACAAACAAACTCCATTGAAGCGTAGAGTTGGCTAAAGAAGAGTGTGTTGCATGATACCCGTAAAGCACACACACAAGATTCATAGTGATTGACAGGAGGCCTGAGGTGTATTAACTTCTCAATGCCCGCCCCTCTAACCAATGACAAACCAAAAAACTGAATAATAAAGACAAGAGAACCAACAGATAATAAAAGTGTTACACCACTGGTTATAGTATTGTAACTCATTTGCCACCACTGAAACTACTTTGAGGAGAAATTAGAGAAACCATGCTGTGTCTGTTCAAACTTTCACTTAATTTTGTAATTCAAACTTGAAATTGTTCAAGAACAAGTAGAATGTTAATGGCATCTTCTAAAAAAGACATGGCATGCCGGGAAATCAAACTTCTCAAGGCTGAGAGGAAACCCGCTGATCTCACTCACCAGGAAGTTGCACGGGGAAAAGTGGTTCCATACGAGACGCTCCACTTGACCACTAAACCTCCAGGTGCGGTAGCTGTTATCGGGACTTCGACAGTCGTAAAGGACCGTTGTCCTGAATGGAGAAAATGTTAGTCAACGACTCACCAGGACAACAAAACTAAAAAAAAACATGAGTGGATTAAACTGACTTGTCGTATGATCCAGATAAAAGAGTCTGTGCCTCAAATGGGTGGAATGATAACGTCTGAACCTGAAAGACAGATTGTTTGGGCATTCAGAAGCTGAAGTCTGAACATCTGAGTATCAGATTAGATCAGATTATAGATGTAATTTAACAGAGTCTTTGGGTATTCAGAAGCTGAAGTATGTAACACCAAACATAGGCTGTGGATTACATAAAGCATATTTTTCCTCCATGAATACCTTATCAGTTTGTCTGCGCAAAGTCGTGGCCGGCTTGCCTTGAGTAAGATCCCACAAAATAACCGATTCATCTGCTGATCCACTGGCCAACACATTTCTAAATGAGAGGAAAAGAAATACCAAATAATGATAAACACAAACAGTATAGAAACATTATCTGTCACAAAGTGAATTCAAATACTGACTTGACCAGTTTGTTCCAGGATAAATCCAGCACTGCATCAGTATGTCCCTCGACAGGTTCTGCTGCCGCCCCCTGAAATAAACCACAGCAGGTAGCAATAGATAGAAAACAAGACAACACATTAACTACCATCACGGACTGGGTGTACATTGTTTCATTGTCAACAAACTCTTACAAAATTAGTGAAGAATTTATCATCATACTCGTCCTTGCAGGTGCTTTTTTTAGACTGTAAGGGAAACAAGCGTCTACCTTCTTGCTCTTCTTCTTTTTGGAGGCCTTTTTGCTCCCCAAGGAGAAGACGGGCTCTAAGCAGTCCACCACATCCAGGTCCCACACATCTATCTGAGGAGTCATGTTGCCCACAGCCGCATAGTTAGCTGTGGTGAGCACACACAGAGCAGAACAAGGTGAAGTAACAGAGCACACATTAAGTACAATGAGACACTTCTGAGGCTATTGTTAGCTCCGGGTTAAATGTAGCGCCTTTTAATACATCTTTCTCACCATGTCCTTCTCCAGGGTTAGGATCAAAGTTTAACCACTCAACACACAGTGGGTAAGCCGGCAGCAGAATATCATGATGCACATACAGAGAGTCCTCCTCCGAGTTATAAACTGGACAGATAGAGATCAACCATTGAACAGATTTATGAATGATATCATCTCAAAAGTCTGGGATAAATGCTTAGTCAATACATTTAGGTTTAATTATATCATCTCGTTACGCATTGAGATTCTATTAACAGCCATAAAATAGTACTACAAATATTTACTATGGATCTCCAGATTGCAGCAGTCCTTCTCGGCCCTGCCTGTGAGGATGAGATTGTCACTGGGCTTGATTTGAAAGTCTTCTCGCTCATACTGGTCCTAAAGGGCAAAACAAACATAGCTGAGGCATCAGCCTTGGAAAGATGCAATGACTATTCAATTCTTCACAGCAAAGACAACCAGCTAGCCTTTTTGGACTTTACTTAATGCATATTTTTAAATTTCCAAATCCCTCCAATTAGCCTCAAAGTGGTAATCTGAGAATATACATTTTGATTTCAACCATATCCAGAAGATTTTGACATTCATATGTTTGTGGTTGATTCCAGGCTATAGGAGGAACTATGCATAATGTTTAGTCATGTAATCATTTTGGGGCACTCACTGTGTCTTTGATGGTGACGTAAGGATCCTCGTCATTTGAGCTGAACACTGTGAGTCCAGCCAGACTGTCGCCCAGATTAGAGGCCACTTAATTAAACAGAGAGAGAGAGACAGTAGATACTTGGTCACAATTACCACAAATTAGTTTGTGCACACCAAGTATATCCATATCTACACAAACAAACCACACTTTTCTTACCTGTATCCTCTTCATCATATTTATCCAAGCCATACTCTGCCAGCTCATCATCTTCCTCCTGTTCTTCTTTATTCCCATCCATTGGTGCTTCAGCAGCTTCAGTGACATTACTATTAGGATCTGAAGAAATACCTTCATCATCCTCTTCTTCTTCTTCCTCCTCCTCCTCGGCTGCTAGCTCCCTGATTTAGCAGAGCAAGTGAATAAATAACTAAATCTTAATATGTCCTTCATTCAGCTCTCACTGACTGCCAGTGCTCACACTTCTTAAATTCCACTCATGATAAAGTAGAGGCACATACTGCAATGATGGTTTTAATCTTACATACCCCAGCTCCTCTTTAGCTTCAGCGATGATGCGCTGAAGCTCCTCTTGGCTCAACTCAACCTAAAATGGGATTTAAAAAGTGTTGCTGAAGCCTTTCATCTCTTTGTAAAATATGACCAATAATCCTCCAGATTTATGGGTTGTAAAAAAAAATATTTATTTTCCCTGTTCAAAATTCACTTTTGGAATCATTCAACTATGTAAAAAGTTTAGATAATGTTTCTAAAGCTAATATCTTAAAAACGTATGCCATTCAGCTACCGCAGCTTGCTAATTAATCGAAGATTAAGATTTACTTTACTGATCCCGAAAGGGGAAATTTCAGTTTTCACACTCTGTAAGTCATGAACACACACATAGGCTGAAATATACACACAAACAAGATCCTATGGACATACACCGGGACTTGAACCGGCGACCCTCCGGTTCCTAACCCAAGTCCCTACAGACTGAGCTACTGCCGCCCCCTAAATAATATTATTCAACAAAAACTGTTGTTTATCGTTCAATTTCAAATCAAAGCAAATCATTCTGTGAAATGAAAATGCACTTAATGTGTAAATATACATATAAGCCAGTTAACAATTAACAATGTAACTGCTCTTGACACACTGTAAGTTTTGGTCTAAACATGTTACTCGTATTCTGCCTTTCTAACAATAAATGACTATCTACAATATCATAGTTTCTAGGCTTTTGTATTTGTCTTGTTCTTTTGTGTTACCAGTTAAATGCCTAAACCCCTTCAGGAACAGTGGGGGGTCATATTTACAGTCATGGTGGGGTTCCCCAACGAGCTGAAAAGTTGGGACACCCCTGAAACATGTTACACAACCGTGTCTGTGCTGACACGTGTGTTAAACATTACCTAGAAAGCCACCATGAAATGTAAACGACAAAAAAGGCAATTAGTCTTCATCATTTCAGTATTTTCATTAGCTGCCCTGTTGACAAATTAGCCACTGGTCGGCTAACGTTAGCGTTACTAGCCAAAATGAAACTTACTTTGTCCGGGGTTTCCTTGGCAACGCCTCTCCCCACCCATCCGACACAAGTAATCTGAGAACTCATTGTGGAAGAACAGTGTTGCTTATCAAACAAGCTCAAAAAAATCTACAAACGTGTGTTGGTTGTCAAAACTTCTTCGCTTAGGGAACGCACAGCGTGCATGTGAGCGAAAACAGACCCCGTGTCGCATCTAGATGACGTCAGAAGAGCACTGGAAATAACTGCCTGATCATAAATAAAACATCCATGTATGTTAAACTCTCAAAACATTACATTTTAATATTTTATTTTATTGAACTATTTTTTATTTGACATTTCATATAGAAGTACCTAAGACTTTATTTGATTTGAAAACAGCGGTTATCAAGCCACTGTTAAAAGAGAACAATCTACAAGTCAATACTGAACAATTACAGGCCTATAGAAAACCTAAGTAAAATAATCGAAAAAGACGTTTTTCAACAGTTAAATAACTTCTTGACATTTGGCAACTGCTTTGATGTCTTCCAGTTTATGACCCCATCACAGCACTGAGACAGCTCTGGTTAAGATATTTAATGACATTGTTCAAACACACAGTGGCATAACCTTAGCCTTAGTTCCACTCCATTTCAGTGCTGCATTCGAGGTGACCACAATATATTACTCAACCGATTGTAGAACAAGCCATGAGTTCCTGGCATTGTAATAAACTGGTTTGAGTCTTACTTAAAGAACAGAGACTTCTTTGTGTCTATAACTTCAAGCTAATACTGATGGCCACTTCAGATAGCAGCCTCTGTGGTGTGAATGGGTAGGTGTGTAAAAGTACTTTTAGTAGTCAGACGACTAAGCACTATACAAATTTACCAGTCCATCTTCTCTTGACCTGAAAGGCTGATGACATTCCGGCTTTTCTTCCCTCAGCTGTGATGTTTAGCTGGTCTTAAGTTGAGAGATCTGAAGGACAGACTTGATGAATGAACCTGAGACAAGAGTCACAATGAAAAATATATCCTCTTGTTAAATATGTGAAACCAGTTCAGCTGGTTCTTCATGTTCCCTCGAATCACCTTCTTAGTGTTCTTGTTAAATTTAAAGACTGTGATTGTTTTCATAACAAGATTTCAGGCTGGAAGGTGAAGAGCATTTCTCATGTTGAATGTCCTCACACTCCAAAACAACGCCAGGCCCTTCAGCCAATCAATGCTACCCGTGTGTACATTGTACATGGACAAGGCTAGTTTATTTATATCAGTATTTGAGCTCAGTAATTCCCTTTTGACTGTAAATATTGTTATATAGATGAAGGGGTGAACTCTCCTGCATCATATAGAGTCTGTCTTATATATCATAGGGTTGTTACGATGCCAGGATTTTAGGATTATATTGAATACAAATCAAACGATACTGTTAATTAGTGCCTGTGAGATAGTGTTATCACTCATAATCAAGGTGAACCGACCTCTGAATTTTAAGAAGACCACTGCTGCTTTCCCCTTCTCTCATGGCAAAATAATGGAAAATGGAACATCTTTGGTTTCCAGAAGAGTTGAAAAAATAGCTAAACGGAAAAATTTGAGAAGTTAAGTCTAGAAAAGGTCCATTAAACATACATTCTTAGCTAATAGAGAGTTGATTGTCCTGATAACAAACAAAGTTCCTATTGTGGAAAGGCAGTCTAAACTGAAGGTCTGAGGCTCTCCGATGGAGTATAAAAATCCTTCATTTAACAGGGATGTGGCGTCAGGACATCATATCAGGACAGTCGACTCTTTGTAAGCTTTTTGACTTCTGTCCTGTTTATGAAGAGCACCTGACCTCAGTGCAACACTCACTTATACCTTTTTTCTTTCATATATTCTTGTTTACATTATTTCATATAGTTATTAATTTTATACATGGTATAATCTTTTAATGGACTGTGATGAGTCGCACAGTTGGTACAGCTTACAGTGGAGCTGTATAAACTTTTGCATGTTTTTGTGGTTCCCCAGTAATTTTAATCTTTATCTTCCTGCAATGATCTATGAGAAAACTAACATCTGGTAACATCAGAGGTGAAAAGTAGAGAAGAAAAAGAAAAGATAGACAAAGTGAATAAGGCATAGGTAGTTTTTTTTCTATACAAAAGACTTTAAAGAATGGAATGGAAGTAGTTTTTTATAAAAAAAAAATACATTGAATTCCATATGTTGAAAGACAAATCAGAAATAGATTTAGATATTGCTGGTATAGGATAATGTTTACATACACGTGGTTACAGAACCATTGTTAGGCCAGAATACAGCAGCGGTATGAATTTCAGCACAGACACAGGAGAAGACTCTATCACAGGAAGTTACATGCAGTCTCATGTTGTGGTCAATGCACAGACAGTTCATCATCAACAGAACCACTTCACAGGGATACATTACATATATTTCATAAAAAATCAAAGCTAAACCAAACTTTTTATAAAACATCAATGTCTTTTCAGACTTCTGACTTGTTTATTTACAGATCAATACAACTCTTTGGTAACAGACATCGAAGAGTTCCATTGCATGAAAAAGTGCTGCCACTTTATATTTGATAATACTGATTCATCGGGACAGCTTTCATTTGAGCCTCACTGGCACTTGTTGACAACTCAGGTAGCTCAACGAGAAAGCTGAGGAGAGTGCAGTGGTGATACAACGGAGCTAAGAGGTTACCTAAGGACATCTCAAAACAGGAAGACTGTTTGGAAAAAAAATACCCATTAAATGCTTTAACAGAAATATACCAACTAAACTTGTGGAGCTGCAGGTCATCACTGCTGAGAGGTCCTTCAAGGGACAAAAGAAGTATGCGGAGCCTGGATTTGGAATGTTTTGTTTGTTGTTTTTCATGCACTCTCTACAAATAGTAGTGTCCTCATGTCTGAGGTACTGATTTTACATCCCTGCTTCTGTTTTTTTCTAATATTGAAACCAGGCTGCAGACAGAAGGATGTTTCACCAGCAGTGGTTCCTCCTTTCTTTTTCTACGTAATACAATTTGGACATCTTTTTTCTTGCATTATGTCACAAGGTTCTCCATAACAGAAGTCAAGACACTCAGTCACTGGTTCCCAACATGTTGGTCAGTTCTTAAAGACACGAAGGTCTGTTGTGCAAAACACTGGGTCGTCAAGTTTTTACAGTGTTACAGTTGACTATCCTGAATAGTTCCTTATGTTTCCGTCTATGATTAGAAATCCAAAGAAAGTTCCAAATCATCCTTTAGCTCCATAACTGTGTCCTTCTCTCCACTCTCGTCTATGGCTGGTTTCAAGCGCTTGGTTACCAGCTTCAGGTTGGTCTCGTGGAGGATCACCTGGGTCAAGTATTTTTCTCGTTTGATCTGCTCTTTAACAGCGTATGGGACGTCCGGGATCACATAGGATAGGATGAATTTTGTAAGGTAGACAATGTGCTGCGGGGAGAAGAAGATACCTCTATTAATGTTTGAATAATTCATGTTTTAACAATCACTTTCTGGCTTAAGGCAGGTTTGTTATGTATATTGTATAAAAAGATGGATGACATGACAGATGTCCAAAGATGAAGCCAAAACCTTTGATGCTCCCCCTACTGACTGTTTAGGTCATTAAGCCCACATCCTGCTGAGTTCAACTATAAAATATAAATACACTTTAAATCAATATTTATCAAACATGCTTTCTGTTATTTCAGTTAGTTCTTATCATGCTGATTTGTGCCCAAATGTTAATTTTTCAAAGAGGAGCACCGGGGTAATGTCTGCTTCAGACTGAAGACAGAATCTGTTCTGCTGTAGAGTGTGCCAACATGATGGTCTCTGCTGTTTTATTGGTACATTTAGAGGAGAAGGAAGTCAACACCACGGCTCCTTCAGCTGATTCCTAATGGCAGAACTCAGGCTCCAGATGTGCATAAAAGTCAGTTCCCATCACAGGGCTATTCTGGCTTCATGTTTGTACAACTGGAAGAGGTGGAGACACAACATCCATTTTTATTTACAGTTAATGCATCATACCCACCTCCACAACAATTATAAAAGCCATTTTGGCAGCGATCACATGCCAGTAGTAGACTGTGAACTGATACTCTCTGGGATTCCCTGGTGGGTACCGGAAATCTCTATAACTAAAAGAGAAATATGTTTTTTAATTGTTTCATTACAATAAAACATCTGACACATATTTGACTTGTCTTTATTAAGGATTACATCATATACTATTTACTTCAGCGAGAATTAAGTCTAAGAATACTTTTAAAACCTAAATGAAAAGTTTGCTCTCTTTACAATCAGACAATGGAAAACAGAAGCAGACACAGGGCTTGTACCTGCATGTTGTGATGTTGTAACGTGTGTTCAAGGGCCTGCTGTCGTTGGAGAAATCTTTGATGTTGAATGTAGACAGCGATGTGCTGATGTAGCCCTCCATGGTGTAATTTCCGTAATCTCCGTATGGATACACAGAGAAAGACCAGTAGTAGACTAAACGAGGAATCATGTCTGATGTAAAAGCAATGATCATGGCCTGTCGAGTAACCAGGACAGCAAGTTAATACAAGAGATCATTGTTTTTGTCAACATTGTGGTAAATGGTATTTCTAGCAGACCAACAGTGTAAACTTTGACTTACATTTGTTGCAACAGCAAGTACAGCAACACCTTGAAGAATGGGTTGCCATGCCCCGATGTCCTGGGCTTTCTCGGGCATAATGCGACGAAACTGAGTGGTGATCTTCCAAGCATCAACCCGAATCTCAAACAAGTTGTTGACCAGAGCGAGGATTGGAGCGAGAGGGAAGGAGGCCACGAACAAGGTCACAAAGCCAAACTGGATCACTGTGAGAAACAGATAAGGTGCAGAGATATTCACTACACCTGGTACTTTGTGTTTGTAAAGCCTATAGCGAGTATGAAAACAGCATCAGATCATGGTACTCGTGCATCTACTCTACTCTATTGAAACTATTCAAAGAATGTTTATACTACATGTCACATTCATCCATTCATACCACGTTCCTACACTGATGTCAGAGGAAAACTACATAAATAGTCCAATCAGCCCATCAGAAATAATCCATTCACACAGTCACAGTAGTGAAATATGGGGTTCAGTGTCCTGCCCCACCAGGTCAGAGATGACCGTCTCTACCACTGAGCCACAGCCAGCAGCAGTTGTATCTTAGCAAGCTAGCTAGCTAGTTCAGTT